CTATAACATTATTTTAATAAACTTTTTATTTTTCTTTAATATAAATAAAATAATTATTAAAAATTATAATATTATAAAGCTTATTAATAAGGTTTCTTAATAATAAAATTTAAAGTCTATTCTAAATTAATAAGTATAATAACTTTTTATATATTTATAAAATAAATTATCCATTATATTTAAGCATTTTTATAAAATAATTATAAAAATTTATTTTAAAAAGTATTTTACTTAATGGGATTAATAATAATTATTTAATATAAATTCATAAATAAATAAACATTTTTTAATAAATATCTTTAAAAATAATAATATAATTACTTATTTTCTAAAATTTAATTACATTAGGATAAAAATAATTAATATAATAATTTTGGTTAAAACTTTATATCATATAATTAATATTTTATAAAAAATGTCTTATATTATTATTTTTTAAAATAATTCATAATATCGTAATAATATTATTACTTTAATTTTAATTAAATATAATACTTAATTAATCTTTTTATAAAAATTAAAAATAATTTAAATTTAAGAATAATTTTATATGATTATTAAACTATTCAAATTCTCTATTAAACTTGTTATATTTTAGATTTTATTTAAATTTATTATGTTTCAAATTTCGTTTAAACTTTTTAAATTTATTTAGTTGTTGCTTAGTTTCCAAATAATCTTCCAGTTTAAAAAGCTTTTTCAAATATTCCTTTTCAAAGTAATTTTTGTAACCTTAAATAAGTAAGTTTGTAAAAAAGGATTAATTAATTAAAAAAGGTAGTAAGTTTAAATATTAATTAATAAAAGAAAATAATAAGTTAGTAAAAAAAGTAATTACGTAATGTGTTTTAATTAGTTACTATTTAATTAATTAAGCTTTTTATTAATAAATTTAAAAGAAAATTTAAAAAGTTATTTAAATTTAAATAAATTATAAATATTTATTTAAAAAAGTAATAATTTAATAATATTTAATAATATTTAATAATTTTTTAAATATAGGCTTAAAAAATAAATTATTAAAAAATTCTATTAATAATATTAAAAAAATAAAAACTAATGTTTAAAAAATAAAAGATTAATAAAAAGGGGAGATTTATTAAGTAAAATGTTAAGAGAATTTGTTAAAGAAGATTAAGTTTATTATATAGTTAAAAAATATATAATTGAGAAAGTAATGATTATTAAGTTTAAGATTTTTAAAAAAGCGTAATAGGTTTTAGGGGAAAAATGGTTATTAATTTTAACATTTTAAAGAAAGAATAATAGGTTTTAAAGAAAAAAAGATTATTATATAATTTATTTATCTTTGGGAAGGTATTATTTTAATAATAGAAAAGTAGTTTTGGTAAGAAGGCAAAAAGCTTTAAATGTAAAAGGTTATTGTAAAAAAGTAAAACATTATGCTTAAAGGTTAAAAAATATAGAGTTAAAATAAAAATAAAATTATAAAATATTTATTAAATATAATATTAAATTTACAGATATATTTTTATAAAAAATTAAAATTAAATAAAAAATTAATTTAATAATATTAAATTTAAAAATAATAGTTTATTTTAATTAATTATCCAAGTAAATAAAAAAATTAAAGTAAATTATTTACTTAAAAAAACTAATAATTGAAATAAAAAAATAAAAAGAAAAAAAAGGAAAAAACTATTATTAAAATTAATAAACCTTAATTTTTAAATTAAGATAAAATTTCTTTATTTATATTTTTATCTTTTTTATCTTCTTAATAAACAAGTTAATAATTTAATAATAATAATTAATTTTTCTTACATATATAAATTAAATTATAATAAAAAATAAAAAATAATTTTATAAAAATAATATTTTAACTAAGTTTAAAAGATTTTAAATATATTAATTCCTTAATAATTATTAATAAAATTTAATGTAAACTAAAGGTTAATAATTTTACATGGGTTAATAGTTTATAATTTTACACTTTTTTAATTAAAATTATTATAATTTAATTATAATATATTAAATTAGTTAATCATATAATTAATCTTTATTATTAAAGGTTTTTATTTTAGTTTAGTATATTTTTAAATTATATTTTATATTTTTATAAATATTATAATATTAAAGCACTTAATAACGTTTATTTAAAGGATTATTTTTAATTATTATTTAATTGTTTTTAATATTATTACCTTTTGTTTAAAATTATAAAACCTTTTTTTTAATAATAAAAAGTTTTCTTTTTTATAATCATTTATTTTTAACCTTATAACGTATGGAAAATATGTAATTTATTTTTTAAAAGTTATTAGTTTTTTCTTTTAATAAAGTAATTTTATATAATAAATGATATATAATTTTTGTAATTTTATTTAAAGTCTTTAAAATATTTATTAATAATTAAAGGTTTAATAATAATGTATAATTGATTTTAATTATATTAAGTTTTAAAATTAATTTATTATTATTTAAAGGATATAATTTAATTATTTTAAAGTTTATGTATATATATATATATTTTTTTTATAAATAAAGTTTAAAATACTTTATAAAATGTTAAAAAAACTTTTTTTGTGTAATATTAAAATATAAAATATATTTTATTTATAATTATGATAAAAGGTAACGTTATTTAACGTTGCGAATTAATTAATTAAATTGTTATAAATTATTTTTCATTATTTAATATCGTTTAATAAGGTTTATAACGTTTTTTTAAGGTTATAATAATTATATTATTTATTATAAATTTTATTATAAATTTTATTATAAATTTTATTATAAATTTTATTATAAATTTTATTTTATTAAAATTATATATATTTTCGAAAATAATACTTTTCGTAATCATAATATTAATTCTAAGCGTAAATTATAATTAATATGTTATAAAACTTTTGTAAAAAATTTATTAATAATTTATATAATAATTAAATTAAGATTTTCATTTATATTATCGTTTAATAAAATTTATAGTTTAATTAATTTTAATGTATTTATTATTATATTTTTATAATAAAATATCAGTTATCTTTTTAATATAAAAAACATAGGTAAAAAATGTTTACGTATTTAACTTAATAATATGTTTAATAATAATATCCGTTTTTTAAAAAGTTAATTTTTTATATGGTTGTATTATAGATTTACGTTATTAGTAATTGTTAACACGATTGCGTAATATATTAAAAGGGATATTATATAATTTTGTAATACATTTAATATTAAAAGATTAATTTTATTAAAAAGTGTAAAGCATAAAGTTTAATTTAAATTCTTTTTATAATATATTATTAAAATATATGTGTTATTTTAAGTATATATATAAACCGTTAATTTATGTAAACCATTAACTTATGGTTTACGTTATATAATATTTAATATTCATAAAACTTAAAAATATTATATAATAATAATTTTTAAAATTATTTTTTAAATTTAAAATAATTAACTATTAATTGAAAAAGGTATAATAATTGTGTTATTAAAGGTAATTATATTATTTTTAATTAAGTAATTTATTATATATAAAATTAGTAATTTTTTAATATTAATATTTTAACATTTTATAAAATATATATTATTATATTAAATAAAAAACTTTATTTATGTTTTTATTTTTATATTATTTTTATATATTTTTTAAAGTTTTTTATTTATATTTATTTTTTTTTAAAAAATTTTAAAATATTAATTAAATATAATATAAAACATAAGTTAATAATTTACATAAGTTAATAATTTACATAAGTTAATAATTCATAATTTTACACACATCGTAAAAAAGGACTTCTTTTTAACGTTTTACAAGGTATTTTAAACTTCATTTATAAAATATATATATAAAATTTAAAACAATTAAATTATATACTTTAAACAATAATAAATTAATTTTAAAATTTAATATAATTAAAATTAATTATATATTATTATTAAATTTTTAATTATTTAACTTATTTTAAATATTATAAAATTAAAAATAGATAATTATATAAAAAAAGCTGTTAGACCTTAGTTTTTAAATTAAATAATTGTTAATTAAAAAAGAGAATTTAACAGATCTTTCGGATCTGTTAATTCTCTTTTAGATTAAAATAGAGTTTCTTTATTTACACTTTTATTTTTCTTATTTTCCTAACAAATGCTTTATAACTTTAAAAGAAATAATAATATTAAAAACAATTAAATAATAATTAAAAGTGGTTTTTTAAATAAATATTATTAAACGTTTTAACGTTATAATATTAATAAAAATGTAAATTATAATTAAATTATAATAATTTTAATTAAAGAAATATAAAATTATAAATTATTAACGCGTGTAAATTATTAACTTATAATTTATATTAATTTAAATGTAATTAAATAAATAATATAATAATTATTATAAAGTAATTTTTAATATAAATTTTATATTATTATATTTTATATTTAATTAACATTTTTAATTAAATTTTTATTATAATTATTTATTAATTTTTTACATAACGTATAACTTTTATAATAATTATTAAAATATATTTTTAAATAATTCTTTTAATATTTTTAATAAATTTTCAAATCCTTTTTTAAATAACTTTAATATATATAATTCATTTATAAATAACTTTTTCTTAATATATAAAATAATTAAAATAATTAATTAATAAATATATATAATGAAAAGTTTTTTTTAATTAAATTAATTTTATACGGTATTTAATACATGTTTATAAATATTATTATAAAAATAAATAAATTAATAAATTAAAGTCTTTTTTATAATAATTAAATAATTAATTTATACGGTTAAAAATTATTTAATATTTTATTTTATTATATATAATATTATAATAATAAATAAATTTAATAAAAAAGTTTATTATTAAAATATAATAATTAATAAAACTTTAAAAAAATTAATTATTAATAATTTTTTTTAAATATATAACAACTGTATTATTTAATTTTTTATAAATTTTAAATATATTTTAAATAAATTTAAAAATTATAATAAACGTAAATTTATTATACGTTAATAATGGTCACGTGGCTTATACGCTTATAACTTAATTATTTAAATCCCTTACGGATTTTTTACTACTTTTAATTTTACTTTTAACGATAATTAAATTAAAAAGAAAAACCTTAATTTTAAACCTCACGGTCAAGCAGCCCTCTTATAAAACCAGCTGTAACATCGGACATACCTAAATTAAGCCCTTTTTTTCATTACGTCATTAACCTATTCTATAGACCTAAGTAACTCCCTTAAAGTACCTTCAGCGTAAGATGAATACCCTTTAAACACCTCAGGATCTATATTAGAAACAGGCTTGGCACCTTTCCAAGGCATCCATGCGCTAAAGCCAGATAACCGACCTGAAGGACCTCTTGGATCTTCTGGCGTAGTAATATCTGCTGCAGCTACCGACTTCGATGCCACTACTTGTGGTACGCTCGATAAAGATTCACGCGCATAACATCTCCCAGCGGATCCTATGGGCGATGTCTTGGTTTCAAGATGATTTTGTGACGTTTGTGGCTCTGCTGGACCGCTAAGTAAGATCACCCCACGTGTGTCCTGTGAAGCAGCATTGCCCTGCGCCTGGCTCCTAGACCTATCCATAATGGCGGTTGCAAATATACCCGATTTTGACGAGAAAGAGCTTTGTTTATTGTCCTGGTGTTCACTGCTAGCTTGGGCTTCCGTGCTATTCGCACTGGCGCTTTCATCGTTGGTACCAACAGTAGCACGACAAACTTCCTCTATAATCTGAGCGGCCGGTTTTTTATTGCTTCTGTCTTCGTCCGAGGACCTGCTCGAACTCATAATTGTTTCCAAAGTACCATAGGCAGTATCCCTTCGCCGAGTAGCGCCTCTCCTTTTCCTCTGCCTGGGTCCAGCATGTTCATCATCACTCGATATCGCCTGTAGCGTAGAGGCTGTGGAAACGTGATGCCTTAGAGATGTAGATGGAGGTCCTAGGCTTCCTGACCCTGCTCCCTGAGGGGCGATATGGACCTCATACTGGTTGCTTAGAGAGTATTTCGTGCGTGCACAGATCTCTGCTATCCGGTCTAGATCTGCACCAACATCCTGCTGTATATCTACTATAATACTCTTAAAGGTGAATGATTCAAGTGGCGGCAGTCTGGCATCAACCGTTCCACGCCGTTTTTCCGTTCCCTTACGTCGCACCTTGTCCTTCATCGTACTGTTTCGCTTAATACGCTGGGACGATAGATTTTGTGAAGAGGTTATGCTGGAGACGGAGATTGGGCCCCTTACTGTCGATGTCGACGACGAGGATGCTCCTGGATACGTACGCACCACGACTGGCTGTGAATAAGTCCCGGCTGCTGAGCTCTTGGCGCTGGGTGGGGGCTTCGCTCTCGAGTAGCGCTGGCGTGAGGACGGTTGAGAGCGACTTAGCTGGCGTAGGGCAGTAGTACGATGAGCAGCGGTAGAGTCGTCGAGGGGGATCGGTCTTCCTTCGGCAGTGCTCGGCACAAGAAAGGTGGATGAACTAATCTTTGGGAAAACAGGAGGGAAAGTAAAGGGTGGTGAGCGCCGAGGAAAATTGCTCTGATTCAGAGAGCTACTGGTGGCGGTACTAGTCTTTGGATGACTCTGTATACGAGAAGGGGAGCGACTACGAAGGTGAGGAGGCGGGGAGGTCGAAGGATATGATGTGTCTGCCATGTTCTATAAGATGCAGGCTTGGTGTATATACGAGAGATGTATACGCTGGACGATGCTTGAAGTGCTTAGACAAGCTAGAACAAGCCAGACAAGCTCAGCAGGCCAGTAGCTAGGCTGATTGCGAGTAGTATTAAGCGATATGCTGTGCCAGCCAACAGGAAGGGCTCGACGTTCTCCGTTCTCGTAGATAATGGATGTGATTCCCTGCGCCGGAGCTAGAGAAATAGGATGATTCGTCGGCGCGTAGGCGGGACATGTGGTTCGAACCGGAGACGAGCTTTGTATAATGTTGTTGTTTCGCTCTCGGTTTGATTTCTCGAGAGGAGATGGACGAAGGGCCGGGGTGAGCTGCATAGAAGTCGTGGTGCTATTTGAGTGGTAGAGAATAGGTACCTAGGTAAGATAGGTACCCCATACATATGCGTACATTATTACGTTAGGTACATATATGTATGTATGTATGTATGTATGTATGTGGAGGAGGGGCTTTGCTTACCTAATCTAGGCAAATTTACGGGCCTTACCGATTACCGTAGTTCATCTTACCCGTAAGAAGCAAGCCACTGCTATCGTGTACCTACCTAGTTCCAATGCCATGCCATATTACCAACCTAGATACTTGAATATTACATAGTACCTGGATAAATGCTCTTCGAAATTGAACCCCCCCCCCAAAATAGGAAACAACATTGAAGTTTACATTATGTCGCCAATACCGATATCTGCTCTAGAAAATCCGAAAGATCATCTCGATTAACGTGATGGGATAAATACCAACTAGGTAACACGGTTCTTTGAAAATATCAAATTCCCTAGTGCCCCTGAAAACCCGAAACACCTCTCTCGTGATTAAGTTGAGGCCCCTTCCTTCGTATATTATCTATTCAGTGAGTGCCGGGCGGAACCACTGTCCCGTACCCATAGCCGCCGGTTTGTACGCGGTCGCTGTATACGCCGGGAGCTCGGCGGGCAGCATAGCGGCCTTCTCTGGCCTGCTCTCGACGGTCATAATACACAAATTCAAGGTAGAAGGCGTGTATATGGCCTGGGAGATATCTGCTCCTTCATATCAGCCAGTCTCCTGGCAGGGGTATGATTTCACGGAATGAGAATCTTGCTTTATCACGTACCCAAGAACCGTGAAGCAGATGTTGATAAGCAGATCGGCGCCGCATCCAGCAACGGCCCAAACGCCAATCGGAGGAACTAGACATTAAAGTCAGGGAACCCTTTAGTCAGTATCGTCACTGATGTTTCCTCGTTACTTACAAAGGATTGTAATGAGGACGATGAGTACGGCTGAAACAGCGCCCATTTTGATCAAGTGGGCTACGCTTGCGAGTTAGAAATAGCTAGGCTAGCGAGGAGCTGATGGCAAGCTGGCGAGAGAAGCTGGTTATAATAAGGCAAGTAAGAGGCTGCTATTTCCTTATCGTCTAAGGTTAATGGAAGCTAGGTGATATAACTTGGAAAACTTCTAAGAGGAGTTCCAGTTTGCTCTTATTTGATTTAGTTGTAGATTATACGATATATTTTGCTGTGGCTTTGTACAGGGCGTTCGTGTTCCAATCTTGGGACTCGGGACTTGGGACAACGCCGATGACGTAGGTCCGTAACAAGCGTACCTTACGTAAAGCATCTCAAATGCAGGGCGTGGAGAGATAACTATGTAGGTACATAGGACTCCTCGTACGTTATGTTTGATCCCGTAGCTGTCATTCGAACCCCGCACATTTTCGTACTCTGTATATATAGGTACAGTGTAGTCATATGATCGTTCTGGGAGTCAGTACATACTGTATATATGCGACCAGGAATACATAACGTAGAGAAATGATAACGTGTGTATACGTAGTCAGGCCGACAGGTCCATATATTATTGTTCCATTTATAAGTAAATATAATAAGGTGCCTGAATAACACTTTCTAAGACAGCTGTAACCAGGATTTAACTTACATTATTATGCGCATTTAGTACTAAATATAAGTAGATACTTAAATGATGCAAGCAAATGTCGATTTTATATACCTACGCATAAATAGGACTGATAACGCGTTGTACCAAGTTGGCAACTCCACATTTTCAACGCTTTCTGACACCGTCTAAATTTTTTTTTAGAGACTTTTCGGGGTCCGGGCTAAAATAATTACCTAGAAGGTAAGAGGGACTTGGACTTAGCTTAGTTAGGGGAAGAGGGGGTACCGAAGAGAGGAAAAAAAAAAACAAAAACCTAGTCAATTAATCAATCATAAGGAGATTGATCAACTATGCACCCTACCCAAAACCAACAGCTCTCGCTACAACCGAACCCACCACGCAACTCTGCAATCCCGGGAGGTGTTCGTCCTTCGTCGTGACTCGTCTCATTCATCCTGCTCCCTTTTTCCTCTCTTCCTTCTGCGCACATAGGCTCTCTCTCTCTCTCTTATCCCTCTTCAGAAAATTATCTCTCACCTTTCCCCCCTATTCTCTCTTTCTCTTTTTTTTTTCTCTTCCTCTTTTTTGCCCCGGCGCTTTACTCGATCCCTTTCCTCGGTATTACGATATTGCGGCATTGCGGTATCTTGAGGAGCTGCCTGGTTTAACAGGGTCAAAATTCAAACCTTGTCGGGACAAGAGGGAAAAAAAATATTAAAAGGAACAACAACAACGATTACCATTTCGACATTGAGGTTCCCCTTATCGCGTTGACCTGAAGGCTTTCTCGTTGTGGTTATTTTTTTTTCTTAATAATCATCCACATTAAAAAAATAGCCAAAAAAAACCCCCCCAAAAAACAAACTGGAGCTCCAGTCGCTCGTTGCTACGACACCTCGGCCACCGCCTTTGACCTCCTTTCTCGATCCCACATTTTATGACCCTCGATTTCTCTCGAACTTTTCGGGTCTCTTAAATTCTTAAACCTGCTCAGTTTAACTTGATAAGTTTTCGTCGTAACATTCAACCTTCCAATCTTCACCGAGCCGCGTCAAAGCCGACTTTAATTACTATATCATAAAATCTCCATCCTACAATACCAATAACCAACACCGCTTGTTACCGTCGCCCTATATCGTAGGCACCGAGTCTGCCCAAAATGTCGAACCAGCAGACTCCACCTCCTCACATCGACCGCTATGTCGTTATTCATGTAGCAACCACCTGTGATGAGCACGGTGTCTATGTGACTAAGGATTCTGCAGAGGTGATTGAGCTTGGCTGGATCCTCCTAGACTCTAAGTCGCTTGAAGAGGTATGGGATACAGGCAGTGACAATCAACATTTAACATGTTTGTTGTTGCTATAAGCGGGAACCTTGAAGTGCTGACCTATCTCTTCCAATGCTAGATCCATCGTGAGAGCGTGCTCGTGAAACCTATCAACACACCTATCACCCCCTTGTGCAGTAAGTTGTAGTTACGGGATGGACTACCCCCCTTTTCCTCCTTAACCATCGTCGTTACCGCTGCACGTATCTTTAGCTTCATTCGACTAATATCTATATGTTTTGCGCTTTCTAGCTAGTCTCACAACCCTGACGTGGGAACATGTACGGAACGCGGGAACCTTCCGGGACGCCGTCAATCGTTTCGATGCTTTCGCTTCAGAGCACCTGACCTCACAAAATCTTGACTTTGTCTTCGTCACTCTGGATGCCTGGGACCTTCGTGTCCAGCTCCCTCGCGAGGCTCGCGACAAGGCCGTTGTGCTTCCTCCTTACCTGCAACACTCGAGGACGTTCGATCTGCGCACCGAATATCAGCGATGGCAGCAGCACCACCCTGAATCTCTTCCCTTCGGCCCTTCGATGCTTTCCAACATCTGTGCTGCCCTCGAAGTTGAACCTGTCCAATCTAGCGCCCCGATCAAGCACAACCTTCCCTTTCACCTACAGGCACTTGCCCCGGCTTCTCCTCGACGTGCCATGGAAGAAGCAGTGACTCTTGCCAGAGTTTTGCGCGGTCTGATTCGAAAGTCCCAGCCGCCGCAAGAACACCCCGATGTCCTGACTCGTCCTATGGATGCTCGTGCCGATGTTCGCGCGTTCCTGTCCGAGAGAAGTAAGGTCCTGCACATGTCTGGGTTACCTCACGATACTACCCAGTCCGAGCTTGAGAGTTGGTTTACCCAATTTGGTGGCCGCCCCATCGCTTTCTGGACTCTACGTACTCCGGAACAGCACAAGCCTACAGGTACCGGCTTTGCCGTATTTTCGTCTCACGAAGAGGTTTGTTATCACATACGTACTCATGTCACGTCTCACCTGCTAATCAAGTTGCTTTAGGCCGCGGAGAGCCTCTGCATGAATGGTCGCGCTCTAAACGAGAAGGCCATTGAGGTTTCGCCCTCCTCCAGTCGTGTGCTTGATCGAGCCGCTGAAATCCTGACGCCTTTCCCCCCGAGCAAGAACCGACCCCGCCCTGGCGACTGGACATGCCCCTCCTGCGGCTTCTCCAACTTTCAGAGACGGACGGCTTGCTTCCGTTGTTCATTCCCCGCAGTAAGCGCTGGGCCCCAAGGCGACATGGGCTACGGCTATGGTTACGGCCCACCGGCTATGATGGGCCCTCCGCCTCATCACGGTGGTCACCACGGAAATATGGGTCATGGAGGAGGTCGCATGGGTGGCAGTGGCGTCGTTCCCTTCCGAGCTGGAGATTGGAAGTGTGGTAATGAGGTTTGTGGGTACCACAATTTTGCTAAGAATGTTTGTTGCCTTCGATGTGGCGCCAGCCGTGCTGGTGCTGCAGTGGTTGCTGACTCGGGTTATCCTTCACCAATGGATAGCGGGTCAAGCTACGGTATGGGTTCCGGCTCCATGGCCGGAACACCGGGTCCAGGTCCATTCGCCTCGGCTACCGGTCCGTTTGGAGCATCCGGTGGATACGGTCACCATTTCGGAGGTCCACCTAGCACCTATGCCTTGCCCTCAGGCATTGGTGGCGGAGCTGCCCCGTACCCTTCTCTTAATACGCATTTTGGCCCTGCTCCCGGTGCCCACTCGGCAGGACCATTCGATAGCCGAGCTGCCGAAGCTGCTTTCCAGTCTGCAAGCAACGGTCCCGCGTCGGCTGGACCTTCTAACAACTTCTATTCATCTCAGGCGGAAAATGACCCGTTTGCATTCCTCTCTTCTGGTATGGGTGGTTTGTCTGTCAGTGGTGGCGACGCTCGTCAAAATGGTGCCGGTGCACCTTCAAACAAATCACCTGCTTAAATACAGGAAGCATTTTTACTCATAAAGGTCCCTCATGTGGAGTGTTCAGTATCCGATTTCAGCCGTGTTTGGAATGTTGTAATGCACGGTAGGTGATGGGCGGTGTCATCCTTGGCGATATTTCTCAGGACGAAAAAGGACACTTCCCGAGGGTGTGGGCTTAGTTTTGAAGATGCGGCATAGGAGGGGAGTCGAGGATACCAAAGGATTAGCAGGGTGTTTGTGGGGGGGGGGGGGGGGGGGACGTTTTTTTTTTTAATAGAAAAAAAAAATTTAAACCCGAATTTTTTATTGGGGCTGGAAAAAAAAAAAAAAGGCCCTTTTAAAAAAGGGACATATATC